CTTGCTGAAATATATGGAAAACCTGAAGTACCAGTAAAGGATGAAGATGGTGAAACCATTTTTGGAAAGGAAACTCAGTCAAAATGATGGGTAGAGTTTTTCAACATCCTCCTGAAATGACCACCACCGAGTAACCTGCCAAACATCCTGTCAGCAAGAAATGAGTTACCAATCTGATGTGATGCTTCTTCAGAACAAAAGACTTTTGATTCCATTAAGAAGATGAACAAAGGTAAAGCGGCCGGTCCTGATCACATTTCCAGATTCCACTTGAGGTCCTTAGAGCAGATGCTAATGTGACGCAGATCTCTTTCTCCAACTGTTTACCAAAATTTAAAATGAGGGCAAGTTTCCCAAAGGATTGGAAAGAAGGACACCTCGAGAAGCTTCCTAAATAGGGGGATCTCAGCAACTGCAGTAACTACAGAGGGATCACCCTTCTATGAGTACCAGGTCTTTAAAAAATCATTCTGGAGAGAAACAAGACTGCAACGGATCTAGGACTACGAGATGAACTGGCTGTTCTTCGGAAAAAACACTCAACCACTGACCAGATTGCCACGCTGATGATATTTGTGGAACAGTACCTGGAGTGGAACTCCCGACTGATCGTCAACTTCCTTGACTATGAGAAGGCCTTTGACAGTATAGACCGAGAAACACTATGGACAATACTGAGACTTCATGGAATCCCACAGAAGTTGGTGAACCTCATTGAGAGCATTATGAAGGGACAAGATGCAGGGTTGTACATGATGGCTAGCTCACAGACAGTTTTGTCATCAAGACGGGTGTGATATATGGATGTTTATTATCACATTCCCTCTTCATATTGGTAGTCGATCGGCTGATGAAGGAAACCATCTGAGGACAGAAGGATAAAGTTGGACAATCTGAATTTTGCTGACGACTTGGCGCTTCTGTCGCACACCCAGGAACAGATGCAAGCTAAGATTTCAGTTTTAAACAGCCTTTCAAAGTGTGTTAGATTGAGGATCCACCCCGGAAAGTCAAAGATCCTATGGACAGATTCATAACGAAAGGAGCTGGTCACAATAGAAGGACATGCTCTAGAAGACGTTGAATCCGTCTGCTTTCTTGGGGGTATAATTGACAGAGAGGGAGGAGCAGGTTCAGAAATAAAGTCCCTCTTTGAAAAAGCACAGGTTGCTTTCATATCTATGTTTGGAATACGAGGGACTTCTCACTTCGAACAAAGCGGGGGATTTTCAATTCAATTGAGAAAACAGTCCCGTTGTATGGATATGAGACATGGAACGCATCTCAGACTTGCATAAAAATGATTCTTTCTTGAAAAAGTGGCCAGAAAAGTCACTGAGGATCAAATAGACAGACATGGTCACCAACGAGAAAATGTTGAGGAAAACAGATCCCAGTCAGGGATGAAGAAGGAAGAAGGCGGTTGCTATGTATTGGACATACTCTCGGGAAGTCAGGCAGCTGCAAAACAAAGAAAATGTTGGATTGGAATCCACAGGGTAAAAGATCAAGGAAAAGACAGCGTAGAATCTGGAGAAGATTCACAGACATTTATGTGCAGAAAAGTTGGAAGACTTGGAACAACTTCAAGAGACTAGCCCAGGATAGAAAATTGTGGAAAGTGTTTGCTCGTGGCCTATACCCTGGTGCAGAATGAGAAAGGCAGGGATGAAGATGATGAAGTGGAGCCGTGAAGTTAATAACTTTTAGTTTCAATCTATAGGCATATTAACACCAACGTCTGAACAATATAGTAGTTATGCTTGCTGGGAAGGCAAGGATCTAGGAAGATGAGTTGTAAAAGAAAATACTATTTTTATATTTTGTTACCGGAGTTAAAAATTCGGTTAAATATTTAAAGATACAAAAATGCTTTACTGAAATACACGTTATATTTTTTTCTAATCCAGTAAATGCCGCCATCGATTTATTCGAATATATCAGACAATTGACACTGTAGCAGTACTCATTTGAGTACTGCAACTACTACTACCAATCGCAACACGACTGCAGGAGACAAAATAGCGGTAAAAAAGCAGGTACATGCATCCAAGTGTTCGTAAAAGCTTTAATATTGCCTAATTCGCCAAAAGTAACATGTGAATAAATCAGTTGTTATAGAACTGACAATAACGCGAGAATATGTAAAATATAACATATTAGGATTAAGTTTTAGCTTTGAAAGCTGACAATAGGGAAAACTACGATGATGTTATAAATTTAACTTTAAAAAAAGATTAATGCACTTTTTAAATACAATGTGAAGCAATAAGTAGGCAATGAGAAGAATCAATATAAACATGAAAGAAAGCAACATTCGATAAGGTAAGTGAATACATTGAAGTATTGATGAATGAGTCAGTAAAACAAATGAAAAAACAGACATACTGTTGCATTGCAAGTCACTAATATAAAAAGAAGCGGATGTATAGTGTGATTTAAAAAACAACAACTTTTCAACCCTTTTTTCTGAATATCTCGCACAAAAATTGTTATAGAATGTTATAACGGAATTTGTGTGGCTTAAAATTATTGAGATAAAACTAATTGTTTAAAGCTAAAACGGCCAAAATACAAAACACCCACAAACGTAAAATCCACCAATTAGAAATCTTTAGCAAAAGTCAGGAACCGATCGATTTGCTTTTGTCTGCCTTTTCTTTTTAATAACTAATTTCCCCTTTCCCCGTAATATTCAAACAGTATCTCATTTATCATATAGAATTTAAAAAGTAACATTGTTATTCAAGAATGTTTAGAGCAAGTGCTCTACATGTCCTCCTTTGGATTCGAAATATTTTTGACGCGTCGCATGCTTGCCATACTTATGGATCCACCAAACCACGTAAGCCTAAAACCGAACACACTGTAAACGTTTCATAAAAAAGTGTCTCCTAGATATAATAGGGCGCGGGTGGGGAGGCCGGGGGCCCAATAGACAATATTGGATTTTACATAATATCCTGAAATGTGAAAATGGGCTCTGCCACAGAACCAAATGTCATTGAGGAAATGTTCACGCTTTCCAACACGACCGAGGAACATTGTCATGCTCTTATCTATGTTAACCTCACGAACATGAAAATGATACTGTCATAGATGAAGATCAACCTTGAGAAAGTGGACGTCGAGGTGTTGGAGAGTCCTAATCGTAGACATCGTCAGCGGACCGACTTCTCATTAGACTCGACTACTGAATTATGTATCCTGGTGTTATTTAAAGAGTAGCAAACGGTGTGTTTCCACATGTAGTGGTAGTTTTGTCTAGGAATTTTCAATTCTGATTCTCTATATATTCAAACAGACAGAAAATCTCTACCAATGACAGCAAAGATGGCCTGGAGGGCACTTAAACTTTCTTTCCGTATCTTGTGTGAAACTTATGAAATGTCGGGGGTGAAGAGTTCGAGGTGAGGAAATGCTCAATACACTAACGCCCTCTGCCCTTTACTAAACGTAGCTATTATCTCAGCAGGCAAAGGAAACTGGAGAAAAACAATATCTGCCAGCTTGTGTAGACTTGTTTGACTGCTGTAGCGTGCAGTATGGCCTGATCTTTGCGACTGTTAGTGGCAGGCCTAATGCAAATTGGAGCGCCATGCTGCACAAATGGGTACAAGGCAAAAAATAGATTGTTTTCCTTGCGCTATACAGAGCAAAACTATTCTGTGGAACTATCTAAAATGAATATCAGATAAACTCCTTTTGGATTCCAAATATTGTGTTCAAAGTTGAAACACAATGCGCCAGTGTTGAGGAAAATATTCACCTAAAACGTTTTAATTTTTTTTGGATCACCCTACACACACACACACACACACACACACACATACACACACACACACACACACACACACACACACACACACACACACACACACACACACACACACACACACACACACTATGTATTATAATATAATATAATATAATATAATATAATATAATATAATATAATATAATATAATATAATATAATATAATATAATATAATATAATATAATATAATATAATATAAATATATAATAATATAATATAATATATATATCTATCTATATATATATATATATATATATATATATATATATATATATATATATATATATATATAATATATATAATGTTTATGTAAAAGTATATAGATTAATACTGCTAATGTTAGTAGGATGAAAGTATGCATGTGATGCACACACTTGCTTTGCTATGTAACCAACATAAAAAAACGTAAATACGTGATAAATTCAAGTTCATGGTTAATACAACAATGTGTTTACATAGATATTGCTGGTGTTAGTAATTCGAAAAGAACCATGTGATGCACACACTTGCTTGCTAAGTAGCTAATATACGAAAGCGTAAATACCTGGATAATGCAAGTACATGGTTAATACAACAATGCGATTATGAAATGCGCTGGTGTTAGTTTGTAGTACATACACATCAAGAGAGGAATCCACAGGAAAAGTGGGCATGGTCATAGAATTGAAATCGTGTGAAATCAATTTCAAAAGCTTGCAGACCAATAACTCCATGTCTATTCGACTATACATCCCCATCGATGTTATTACGATCACTTAGGAGGCGACTGTTCGACTCCTGTGGTATTATAAATATTTTTATTCGATACCCCATCCAGCTGACATAGATAATAATTCGACAGTCGGAGAAAAAATTAAGTTATGCATCTACAAGTTTTAAAAATTGATGTCTTTATTTACGACATCCACAATTCTGTGACCTTGCCCGTTTTCCCCGGGGCGCCCTCATCACAGATATATTCTATAGTGTTTGTAGCGAGCTAGTGACGTAGAAAAGGTCAAAGAAAAACGGTAATGAGAAGTCAAAATGATTACATGGATAAACAAAAGCTACCTACAAGTTAGTAGTGCTAGTATTGAGTTAGTATCATAGCTACACACAAATACAAATGATGTGATATGTATAGTCATTGGCTTCGTGTTAATCAAAACTGGCATGCACATTTACTTGCCGGATACTTACCATATACTAGAACAGACAAAAATTGTTTCGTATTATTTAATGAGCTTTATTGCTTGCAAGCCGCAAGCAAATACAAACATACAAACAATAAAACAGGTAGTATGTGTCATGTCATAATACTTATTTTTGTGATGATTGTACGCGAAGAGTTCACGGGGAAAAGGGCATAGTAACGAAATGGAAATAGTGAGGAAAATGAAATTTAAAAATTTGTGGACTGAAAACTTCTTTTCTATTTGACTTTTCTCTTATTATCATTATAGATCTATTGGTGATCAAAAGGTACCATTTTTATTGAGTATAAAAACTAAACTTGTCAGTCTTTGCGCTTTATCTTTCACGTGGGTAGTTTGAAAAGTACTCTGAAAAGTAGGTCATGTTATAAAAATAACATGTTCGTGCTTTTACTAGTGTTAACAGTTTCTTTGTGAAAAAAAGAGAGAATCAATTTTTTTTCCCAGAGACCACGAGGCGGATTTTTTAATTGTTTAAATTTAGAAAGGTTAGGTCATAGTTCACTTAAAACTACATCAACATTTGATCATTGTCATCCAAAAGAGACCTTTAAGCCAAAATCAGAAACATCAGGCCAGCCGCATGCTCACCGCGCTGCTGTTGTTGTGAGGCCATTTTAAAGTCAGCGTAAGGGCTGTCAGCCAACTGAAACAACGTTACGTTGTGAATGAGCCTATTCAAAACCGACAAGTAACTGGCCGTCCAAGATTAGCTATGCCGTTTTAAGACCGACATGTAATCAGGACAGTGTGCCTTAGAAATTGTATCAATACAATTGCTCAAACTGCAAGACAATTTCCTAGACTTTTACTCGTCAGCCGGCATACTGTTCGTTGCAGACTGTAGGAATCCAAGATTAAAGCTAGGATGGCGACATACAGACTGCATTTACAGTCAAAACACAGTCAGGCTAGGATGATCTGGTCTCATCTACACTGCCAATGGACCTAGATCAAAGCAGTGAGACTCGCCATCTTTTCAGACGATTCTTAATTCCAATTTGAACGTCATGAAGGGAGTATAAAAGTGTACAGAAGACCATATGGGCACTATCTGCCATTGTTCAACCACACAATAAGCCCAAGACATCCCAACAGGACAATGCGCCCGTGCACCGTGTACTCCGTGTACTCGGAATTAAAATTCTTAAAAATCCAGAATAACGTCTCTGCAATGAATCTACGGCCTGCCATTTCAGCAAATTTTAACTCAATTGAGCGTGTGTGGGACAGGATAAACTGTATTTCCCGTGACGTGAATCTCGGACCCAGAACCATTTTCACCTGCAGCAAGCCCTCACCAGTGCCTGAAAAACATTCTGTAGGAAGACCTGTGTACTCTATGTGCATGGGAAGCACTAATGTGCGGAATGCACATGGAGGTTACACAGCGTTCTGATGGGTGACTTATAGATTTTAACCCTATTGTCAAATTACAGTCCTAAAAGAGACGTTTTTTGCTGTAAAATAATCCTTTCACCTTGAGTTATCTTCATATTTCAATTTCGTGGTCGAAAGAATCACTTTTACAGATCTAAAGTTAAGGCAAACGGATCGAAAAAGTAGGTTGGTACCTTTTTTGATCGTCAGTATATTATTGCTATTGTTAGTGAGATGGAAAAGTGAACAGTAAATAACAACGAAAAGCAAATAGAGATTAAGTAATCAGTCTATAAAATCTTAAAATGTATATCCTCATTATTGCCATGTTGCTACATTATTTATTCTTTCGTGGACTCCTCAAATTAGGGTTTACCCCCTTGTTGACCCAATTTGGTTCTCGTGAATAGCTCATGCATTCCATACCGGTGTAATTGCCAAACAAGCTAACTGTTGGGCTCAGCATCCCAGCAGAAAGATCGAAATATACTGGATAACAAGCTTCTCTTCAAGGGAATTGACTCTTCTGCATTCAAGACAAATAAAGCCAATCTCTACACCACAAACGTTGATAGTCGGTTAGTATGATGTACAACTATCTTTGTTGGAGACACCTTTGAAGTGAATTCATTGGACCCTATTAACATTGTTGCTTAAGGTTTTATTTACACTGGAATGTGTTTCATGTCTCTGTTTTGGTCTGTAGCAATGTTAGGGCAGCAACAACGACATGAAAAACTTTTGACAAAAGTAGACAGGGTGTTTGTAATGGTCATAAACACAACAACACCGACAATGATAACAAGAACAAGAGTTATAACAGTACCATCCCACCTACTCTCACAGTCACCACACCTAACCCCATTGACGAAAACAGTAGCAACGGTGACAGCAACAACGACAACAACAATAACAACAACTAAAAACATCTGCAGCATCATCAAGTTACAACACCACCTCCATCTTTCGTTAAAAAAACCGTTCATGTGTGAACGGTGAGATTCCTGTTTTATTATTGTGATATTTCTGATATCTTATTTAAGCTGAAGACAAGCGGTTGTCTTATTATGATTTTTCTTTCCGCAAAGGCACTTGTATAGGCAACCAAGAAATCAAATCGGAAGAGAACGACGATTAATTTTTAAATAACGCTGCTATACTAAAATGTTACAACATGAATGTGCACTCACTACATCTCGCTTGGACAGCTGGTGCTGGAATGCTGCTTTCCCGGGGGCTGGTAAGGAGTATGCTGGGGATGTGGGAAAGAGAAGGAGAGAGAGAGATGAAAAATGTGACGTTGGGTAGGGTTCACACTGAGTAGCTACTCGGGTCGAGTTGTAATTTTAATTATAATATTGCGCAAATCTCAGTTCAAAAGGTAGGCTGTGTACGCTTTACAATGTAGCACGTGTCTTCTGTCTTCCAAACCAGACTTCGAGAAAAAGAAGAACTTTAATTGAAAAAAAAACCTTCAGAGAAGACATGAAGAACACCTTCTGAAAGAATGGCATTTGTGATGGACACAAACACACTAAATCTTACAATGAAAACAATAACAAGAACTATAATTTATAATGATGATGATAATGATGATGATGAGGATGATGATGATGAGGATGATGATGATGATGATGATAATGCTGATAATGATAATGATAATAATGATGATGATAATAATAATAATAATAATACTAATAATATTAGCAAGAACAATAATAATGATAATAAGAAGCAGAAGAAGAATAAGAATATTGATATTAATAACAATAATAACAATGCTGCATATTTCCATTTTCTATTTCAAAAATGCTCAAAGCGCATTTCATTGATAAAGAGATCACATTTTAGAAATTAATGGACAGATGTGTACGTAAAATTAAATTAATATGTAAAACAATTTCCAAGTTAGCATTAGCAGTAAGCCTGGCAATGTGTGTACTAAAGTAGGCAATAACAGCTCACAACGGTCACAAAAAAACTGAAACTTGACTGGCTGCAGGCAAAATAAAACATTTTTTTCTCTATAGATACGATATTGTAGAATAACATTTTCATTTTCTCTCTCTCTCTCTCAATCTCTCTCTCTCTCTCTCTCTCTCTCTCTCTCTCT